TGAAGCCATATAACCATGGTACCCTTGTATTCTTATCTTGGTCATAGGGGATAGAAAAGTGAAGCCATATAACCGTGGTACCCTGCTATCCATATCTTGGCTTTTGAGAAATCAAAAAGTGATGTCATATGACCATGGTTATATGACATCACTTTTTGAATTCTTATCTTGGTTATTGTGGACCGAAAATGAAGCCATATAACCATGATACCCTTGTATATTCTTACCTTGGTTATTGGGGGTCGAAAAGTAATGCCATATCCCATATAGACTACACAGGGATGATCCGCTGAACAGGGTATGGTTTTTTAAGCATCTAGTCATACATTCTACTTTCGTATTGACCAAAACTGGTTACTATGGTCTTTAAAAAACGATACGTGAGCTGACAGGAAAATTGAAACAGGAACTCAGTGTAATTAATTACATCTTTTGCCATAAACATGGTCTACAAATTTGTATTTTTTGTTGTTGTCATAAACAGGGTACCCCTTTCAGAATCCCAGCGGAACACCACTATTCAAATCCTAGGAATTCTTACCTTGGTTGTTGGGGAATGAAAAGTGAACCATATAACCACTGTGTCCGTATTTTTTAAAGTTTATTGTCAAATATTGTAAATTTCATCAAAACCACAGGCTATAGTCCTTCTTTTTTTAATTGGAATAGAAAACTGAAATGTAGTTAATTGTATCTAGAAAGTATGACAAACTTAAAGCTGAATTTAATTTGTAAATRCTAAAGTAGAAGCAATAGACTTCTTTAGCTTTGTTGTTTGTTTTGTACATTACAGACCATGTGTTGATACTCTTGGCAGTTGAGCAACAATTCTATTAAAAGAATGTCATGTGACCTGAATTGGGCTATTTGAATACAAAGCTACTAAGCTCTATGGTTGATAGTATCAACTCCAAAAATATTTTAAATAAAAATGAAGTGTTATTCGTTGGGAAAACTAGATTGTTCTTCCATCTCGGTCTCACTTTTATCTGGGTCTTGAAGTTTTGACTTTATTAATTCTTCAAGTGTATTCATGTTATTTCCTTGTTGTTCGGCAATTTCCTAGTGTTAAATGTCAAATAAATTATATTAGTCACTATTTGATTTCAAATCAGTTGGGTTTTTTAAGAATTGTTAATTCGGAGGGAAAAAGAGGACAGAGAAAAAGGGGCAGAGAAAAAGGTGCAGAGAAAAAGGGGCAGAGAAAAAGGGGCAGAGAAAAAGGGGCAGAGAAAAAGGGGCAGAGAAAAAGGGGCAGAGATAAAAGGGGCAGAGAAAAAGAGGCAGAGAAAAAGGGGCAGAGAAAAAGGGAGAAGTGAATCTTACTACCACTATCAAAATTCGTATTCCCTCATGAGAATAGTAAGACAATTGGTGCTAATTAACTGAACAAGTGTGCAAGGGAGTGTGGTAGTTGTAGAAGATGTTATAATGCAAGTGAACTATTAATAGAGACCTAAACAAATAGATAACACAAATTGAAATGATTAAGCATACCTTTTCATTCCAGTACAACTTGAAAGTTGGTAGATTTGTAATATGTAACTGATATTTCAGAACCTGTAATTAAGRAAATAATTAAATCAAAGTTGTAACTGTCCAATATAAAACACCAACCCTATTTGAACACTCCTGTATTGAACATTGACCCTATATTATGAACACCCATAAGATTTTGGACTGACCTTAAGTTGTTCTATATCAACACGTACAAACAGCACGCTTTGGTTCACACCATATTCAGCATTGAGTGCTTCAAACCTGTCAGCAATGGCTCTGCTATTCGCACACCTAGTCATCATAAAATACTTTCTTAAAAAAATATTTAAAAAATAATGGGGTTCTAATAAAGCGCATCTCACATTGTCTCAATGTGCTTTACATTTATGACCAGTGGAGGACTTTACGGCCTGCATATTAAGGCGCCATTAGCAGCAGTGCACCTTACAATTATGAGTTTGAATTGTTAGTACATTAGTGTTATGCCTCCAAATTGGGATAGGCTATTAAACTAGGAGACAATCCCCTACTCTTATGATAATGATTCAAAAGGTCCTTTTATGTTCCCTATTTTACTGTACAGTGGTTAGGAAGGGTTAGGAGACAGGGTTTACGGTTTTAAGTCCTTGTCCGAGAAGACTTGAAGGTCTAACCATTTGCACATGTAATTACAAAGGCAGCACCTTCTCCTCAGTTATTTTAAGACCCTGAGTGTTGATCCRGCCGAGGCATGAACCATGACCTCCCGYACAACAGACCAACACTCTCACCAACTAAGCTGACAGGGTTGTGGGTTGCGGTTAAAAAGGAGGTTGAGTTTTATGACTATACAAAAGGCAAGATTAAAAATGTTCACCAATGAGAATAATTACTGTCATTCTGCTCTAACCRTGAACACTCRGAGTTTGTCAACCAATCAGATTACAAATYGAAAACAATAGARTTCAAGTTACATGTATTGRAAGTCTATAAAAGCTATTCAAGGAGATGAAATGATGAAAGAGAAAGAAAAAAATAAAAGYATATTTACACAAATAAAAAATAGAATAAAATAAACTCCAGTGTTCAAGGTTAGAGTAGAATGACAGTAATAAAGAAGAAATACAGTAGAAAAYGCTCGCACATGCTGAGTGTAGTTATAAAGCATGYGGGRATGGCAGAACTCAAGAGAAGCCTTAGGAGAAGGACGACGTGTTGCCAATCCACAAGTGCTTTATAACTGCACACAGCACAGCAAGCAAGTTTTTATTTCTTTTATAAAATACAATTTACAATAACCATTATTTCGCATAAGAATTGTGCATCTAAAAGTGTGCGTGCGTGCTGTGTGCTCTCGTAAAGCACATTCTCCAAACCAATCAGAACAATTTATAACATTCATTTTATAAAGGTTAATAAYGTTTCATGTCAACTCACCATGTAGTGTAAAATTGTGCTACCATGAGTCTATCACATGATTTTTTCAACACTGCTTGCCAATCTTCCATGCTTAAAATAGTCTTTACAGTGGAAACTGCGCAAGAAATTAATGGTGTGCATAAATGAAATGAGGCATGGAAAGATATAAATTTCCTAGGAAAACAAATATGCATAAGAACTATAGGGAATGGGGAGCCATCCTTCCAGATCCTCCTTTCCCAGCCCGCTATTCACTCCGTCCCAAAGGGCTAAATACTTAGAATTTATTAGTGTGCATAAAYTAAATGAAATAAGGCAAGGGTGGATATATATTTCCTAGGAAATCAACATGCATAAGGGCAGGGGMCCTGTGGAGCCATCTTCCAAGGTCCTCTTCCCCCAACCCCCTTTTCTCCCTCCTCCCCCCATCACCCCTCCCTCTCCCCCCCCTCCCCCAAAGGGCTGGCTCTACATAGAAATTGTTAGTGTGCATAAATCAAATTAAATAAAATATAATAAGGCAGAAATTAACAGTCTAATAGTCTGCATAAGAGCTGGGGGATGGGGGTACTGGARAGCTATCCTTCCCGGTCCTCCTTCCCCAACCCCCATCTCACCCCCACCTCTCCCCCTAATTAGGCTATGCAGACTAAAGAACCACATGACAAAAAACAAGGGTGTTATATTGGGTAACTACAAGAAAACAAAATTCAATAGCTATTCTTTCCCATAGTAATCCCTTTTTATAGAGAGAACTAGTACAATATTTCTTACCTTCACCGTGTCCTTGAATGAGCTGACCATGTTGGTCTCTTCTCTGCACTACTAGTGCTGCTCGTGGAGTAAGTGCTAACAAATAAACCATGAACAGTTATTATTCTTATTAAGTCAATTTACTATCTTATGATTGATATTACATTTAGGGGACTGTTAGTAAGACAAGTACAAGCTTATTTTGCATTTTTTGGTACATCATCTCAACCTCATTGACTCACCTAAGTCCAAAATGGCGCAYGGCCAAGTGTGTTGCATGAAAATGAGGCATCCAGGGCCAAATACAAAGAAATGTCAATGCAAAGTATACACTTGTTCACTTGTTCTGTCTTCCTTTTCTTCTTACATTCAGGCATGCGACAATTTTGCAGCATCAAATTATTAAGAAAATGCTGTAAGTTTGTAAATTTGGCCCTGGATGCCTCGTTTTCAACAGGCCGTGCGTCATTTTGGATTTAGGTGTATTCAAGGTCAAGACTTTGTGCAGAATATGAAAATCACATACCAGCGGTTTCCATTGTTGATTCCATATCTGTTAATTCTGTTTGAGGATAGGTAGTCATGACAACAAAGTCATCTTCCATCATCTCTGTCAGCCTACACACGTGTCTATCAAGAATAGAAAATGCTACAAATCAAAAAGTTTGAACATTTGATTATAAGATGATGATGATGATGATGATGATGATGATGATGCTTATGTCGATAATGATGAATATGATGATGAATGGTTGTTGTTAATGAAGATGATGTTGTTGGTAGGAGATGATAATAATGATGGTGATGATGCTACGTATTGTTGCTGCTGATAATGACAATCATATTACTGGTATCATGGTTATTGTTGTTGTCATTGATGATAAAGATGATGATATTGCAATTATTACTGTAATTCCTTAACTCACCTGTATATTTCCTTGATATGTGCATCATTTGAAAGACTAAGATTTGACACCTACAAAACAAAGAACTGTTCTTAGACTCCCCTTGTATCTCCRTAAGGTGGCTCAAAAGTCCCCTTCACAGTTCATGGTGCCATCTTGAAAGGTAGTCATGCCTTTGCATTGAAGCTATATGAACAGTGAGATTGCAATGATAGACACATGTGAATGATTGTCTAAGTTTACYTTTCAAAATGGTGCAAGGAACTGTGAAAGGTAATACATGTATTTTGAGATCAAGAGTTGGTTTTTGTAAAAGAAGATGGYGCATACCTGACCATTTGGTAATCTGATTCTTAATTCTGTATTCCTGTCTTGAGGTAGTCCTGATGTCCCAGCCACAGGTAAACAGTCAGACTGTGGCATCTCTATTGAACACATCCCCTCGGATGACTGAGCTTCAGTTTTAAACTTCTTGGCTTGATCTTCCTGAAAGGTAAAATTTTGTGCTATACATGGTAAAGTTTTCATCTTATTTTGAAATGATTKTGTAATTATTYGATTACCTTTTCTTTCTTTTCTTCTTTCTCGTGTTGCATTTCTTTCAATAAAAATTGYTTATGTTGCTGTTTTGCTAGTCTTTCAACCCTAAAAGCAAATACAATTGTGATAAATATGTAATGAACAAATACAAATATTATGTACATACATGCATATGCACATTAATGATAGTAATGATAATGATTATAGTGATGATAAGTCATGAAGATGGTGAATATAGAAGTCATGATGATGATGACAGTGATGATGATGATGACAGTCATGTTGATGGTGATGATACTGATGATGGCAGTGAGGATGATAATGATAGTGATGATGACAGTGAGGATGATGATGATGATGACAGTCATGATGATAATGACAGTCATGATGATGCTGACAGTCATGATGATGATGATGATGATGATGATAGTGATGATGGTGATGATAATGATAAAGATGACAGTCATGATGATGATGACAGTGATAATGATGATGATGATGATTGTGGTGGTGTTTGTGAAGGTGATACTGACAAACATAAGCCAAATGATAAAATGAAACAAATTATTTCAGACTCTTCTTCTATTTACCTTGCTGCATCTATGGCTTCCAGTCTCAATTTCTCCTGAAACTTATGTCTTTCATCGGCAGTCTTTTGATACCTTGATATTGGAGCTGGCTGAAATAATTTTAAAAAGGTCACATTTTTAAAGAAAGCAAATGATGTGGGGGAAAATGTTAACACTTCTTTTTTAAATGATACAGTAGTTGCACCACTTCTGTCTTCCATACTCCTTCCCTCCTTTCTTGCTTGTTTTCCTTTCTCCAAGAACACAAGTTTGTCAACATATTAAATGTACCAAACACAAATGAGAGATAGACAAGCAGAATCAAACCAACAAACCCTGGAATCATCAGCTGTCGTTATTCCTGTAGACGATGATGCCACACCCTGAACCTGACCTTGACCAGCTTGGTCACTATGGTTACCATTCGTACTTTTGGCATTTCCATCTAAATGCAGTGCTTGAGGATTCATAGATATCCTGTTTTATCACAAATGAGTTTTCATTAGGACAGTTGTGTTAAGAGGTGTGGCAAGGATTCCCCATTGAGTGGTAGGAGAGATAAAAGTGGGAAGTGGGGGAGGGGGAGGGGAGTTGGGTTAACCCAAACAATTTCCCTCTCCATCCTCTTTTCCTAAAATAGATGCAAGTACTCATATGAGAATGGAGAGTCTACACCCCAAGTCCACCAAGTCCGCCAAGTTCTACAAAATGACAAAGTCCTTACTGGTTATTGTGTTGCTTTGCTGTAACAAAATCTTAATCTAGATATCAATTTAAGATCTAGTGAGACAAGCTTACCAGTCCATGGCTGGCTGGACTCCAACATTTTTGGTTGCAATCAGGGCTTTTTCTGCTGCTCTTTCATCAAATCCTATTACAATTATATTGAATATGTGATTATAAAATTGCGGTTTAGCAATAGGATGAAATAGAAATTTTCAAAGGACTGGCGTACCCATTTCAATCATATATGATAACAGAGTAAGGTCTGCTTTTACCTCCTGGTCAAAATAACTGCTACCTAAAAATTAAAAGCGCATTAAATGCAAAACGTGCAGAAATCAATTGACCTTACATGTAGTACATTTATTTGATACGTGGGATGAAAAAAGTTATGGTTTTTTCAATGTAATAGTTCTACTGCCAGAAGGTACCAAGAAGCTAGTCTAGTGCTTAATGATTATTCGGCAAAGGCGAAGTGAATATTGGGGAATATTTACCGAGACACGAATCTTTGAGCGGCGAGGTAAATATTCTCTGATATTCACTGAGRCTGAGGCAAATAATATTGTTTTAGTAATAAATACACAAGTGATTCTTTAAAAGAAGATTAAAGACATTTTTTCCTGGTAACAGCAACAAAGCAGCTGGCCGTCATTTTGGATTATCGCTGGAGGTGATTATCGTGTGATAGTGTGAGTTTCTCGATCAATCAGCGCACAAGATTTTCAATAATCACCTGCGTATTTTTACTAAAAGGATATACTTTCCTTGGACATCCTCGTCTTGTAAATTTCAATCCCCCTCCTCCCTTCCAATGAGGGCTACAGTGTTATCTCTATGAAGTGGATACCTTCGAGAATGGTGCAAATATATTGCGTAATGTAGGCTAACCTTTTGGAGCACTGAGCTTTAATGTTGATGAAGAACTAGTAGCTTGGCCTRGCATTGCCTGTGTGGCAATTGCATTGATATCTTTAGATTGCTTTACACAGCCCGCATTAGCATAAGTATCAATTAAATGTCTTGCTTCATCTATGTTGATATGATCAGGAAGAACTATAAATTCGCCATCCTGTGGTAAAAGTAGAAAATTCATCTGAGCAACTTACTTTACATGTACTTAACTGAGAGTGTCGTATGTGACAACACTAGCAGTAGCTGCCTAAGAGACTAACATGGAAGGGGTACTGAGTAGATCGAGGATTTTAAAAGGAGGCTGACAGTTATCTTGTGTCAATGCCTCTAGTGACTCTTTCAGGACTAGTTGGTTAGTCTTGGGTGACATGTGTCTCACTTCTGTGGAGTTTGAAGCCTTGGGTTGCAGGTTTAAAACAGCTTTTGTAAAACAGTTTTTGTGTGCCGTGCCGTGACCGTAGTTTTCTAGAATTTGAATTGGCTGATTGTTTTCTTCTGCAATGTGATTGGTCTGGTCAGTGTCATACCTTGGTGTGACCATGTCCATGCCTTGTTTTTTGGTGTTCTTGGTATTTGATTGGATGGAGAGTAATTTCTATCTCAATGTGATTGGTCTGGCTATTGCCTAGCCATGTCATGACTGTGTTTGTGCCACAAGCTTTTCACAGTCATATGAAAACTACTCTAATTTTAGACTCAACGACATAAATAAAAACAAAACAAAAGAGCAGCAGCTGCAGCAAGAACACAGGGAGCCCAAGCTGAAAGAATATAGCTAAAGAAGCTGTATTAACCTCTTTTTTTTACAATTAACAAATTTAACAAGTGAATTCTTTCAATTGCAGTTCAGGTTTACTGTACTTACTTCCTCAAATCCAGCAAGGAAGAAAATCATCCTTGCTTCTTGAAGTTTCCAAATAGTGGCGTTAAACTTGGCATTTCCTTATAAATCATAAAAAGAACAATAAACAAACGCTTTTTTCAAACTTGTTTACAAACATAATATCTAGCTTGAATTCTTAACAGCTTAATCCAAGCTATATAGCGTTATTTATTCCACAATAACGTGTGTAAAGTAGAAATATTTCAACACAAGAAACAAGACTTACCAACACGTATTTTTCGATATTTTGGATTGCTCGGCTCTTTTGCAATATTATCAAAGTAGACTTTCATCAAATTTAAAGCCGGTATGACTACATTGAGGTCTGAGATATTTTTAAATGATTCCTAAAACAGAAAAGCATAATTTTTACTTCTGAATACGAAAAATAATATTTTAAAATATTATTAAATCTCACCAAAGCTTCCTCCATTTTAAATTTCGACCTGAGCCCGCAAACTGAAGTTCCAGCGGATATTCATACAGCTGTTTTAAACATAACACGCGTTTTGATTGGATAATACTAAAAAAGAACCAATCATATGTAGCGTAAGAAAGCTAATGGAGAATGCAACTGAAATGAAAAGAGATACAACGTTAGTTTTGATTGGATATAGATGAAGGGAACCAATCAGAGTTTGTTTTAAAAAAACACTGCGTCATAATTTAGAAAGCGTAAAAACTCTGACAATATCTAGAGCATCACTGTTAGGAACTCAAATTATCAAGTTTTCTCTTCTAATTTTTCTGYCAAAGAAAGTTCTGATTCACCAGATCTTTAAGGATAGTTATTAAGCAGATTATTTTTTAAGAGATGGTATGAATTTCGTGTATACTTGTGCCACTGGCTTTGTTCATTTGGCACAAGTTTATCCAGCCTTTAGTCGATCGATGGTATGGACCGAAAAAAATGATCGAAGATTCGTCGAAAAAGAAGGTAAAAATTACGCTTTTCTCTTAGTAAATGAAATATAAAGCGTGTTTGACTGGAGGGTTGGGCTTCATGCTTGAGGTAGGATAGATTTTAAGCCATTAGAACGCGATCAACGATGGCAAAATAACTCTCCTTATATGCTTATCAACTGTCTATATTGCTTGTACCGGCAAATACCACTTTCTCAAAGATTATTGTATTGTTTTTCCATCCAGCACCCGGCAACATTCCATTCGTCTAATTTTAAAATAAATGTACTTGTATAATGGCTAGAATTCATGGTTAAATGTTCTATAGAAAAAGACGTTTTTGGCAGATAGATGTACTTGGCATGGACTTGGAAAACGTGCATCAACAAACGTTGGCTACTTTCTCAATGCCAGCACCAGTCTGCATAATTTWATAGATTGTAGATACGATTTAGATATATATTTGAATTTAATTTTGGGTTAAGATTCAGATTGAGGATATGAAATCATTGATGTGGAAGGTTGGTGTGCCGAAGAAAGGAAAAAGAATGGGAGTAGAGTAGGAAAAGGTTTTGGATGAAATAAGTAAATGTATGCCAAGAACACAATCAAGGAGCAAATTACATCCTTGATGTAGCATTTTATGTTATAGTTAACACCTGGATATATAAGATGCATTATAAAGGGGTGTATTGTGGGGCTTTCGGAGGGACCCCCCCAAAAAGGAAAAGGAAATGGGATGGTTCCTATTCTGTTGAAGAAGCCACCATAGTTCCTGTAATTTACTAATCTGCCATGTAGACAATTGTTATACAATTATTTAATTATCTTTGGATCGAATTTAACATGGTGGGATTAACATTCATTAGCATGAGGTTGTACGAAAATTGGCAAATAGTAAAATAAAGTAAAATTGTAAAATAGTTTAAGTGTTGATATATGAAGCATAAATAATGGGAAAGATAGATCTTGAAGTAAAAAGTATACTTACTGACATTTGAAGTAATCTTTCACCAAAGTAAATAAATAATGTGTTGTAATCTAGTATTAGTTCATGGTGCATTCATTTCAGCAAGCTTAAAATTTCATACAGAAAGAAGGAAATATAAAACAGAACAGATAGTGAGAAAGCTTAATATCAATCTTTTGTGGGATTAATTTCTGAAATTTTTATTTTTGAAAAGGAAAATGTAGGGACTGAAGAAGTGAAAGGAAGCACCAAGAACAAGATACCCACAGCTGGTAATGGCATACCTTTAACAACCAATGGGCATGTAAAGAGTGAATAGCACTTCTTCTCAACTATATCGCAGATGACTGCCACAATCAGACATGATAGTATGAAGACTTTTRGTGAAATCCTGTGCCGACTGCGAGTGCCAAGAGTTAGATGTCGATGATCATTCTGGTTGTTTAGCAGTCATAGGGTTCATATGAGAACTTAGCATGGCAGATTTGGGAGTGAATTTTTATCTACAATTCCATCAACCTATTTATTGAATTTTTACATAAATGAATGGTTTCGTAAATGCTTCTTGAATTACTGGCAACTCCAATATTTTGTTATTGGTCATAAATCGAAAGAGTTAAGAAATATTTCTGGAATGAATAATTATAAATCTATGATCTACCTGGATATCTGTAAAATATAGTTATGTATGACTATAATTGATTGTAATGAAATGTAACTTCAAACCCTTCAAGTGTTATYGATACCCAGAAACATATATTAAAAATAAACTTGTTCAGGAATATAATTTTCTTATTATATTGAAAAAAATATCTACTTGGTGCTTTTTATGGGTTATCTTTGTCAAAATAATGTAAACCTAAATATGTATGGGACATGATACAAAAGAGTGGCTGGCTTCAATCAGTGGTTATTTTCCAAGTCCTAAATGGATAAATTATATCTATTCTTCATGTTCTTAAAATCCAGGCAAAAGTGATAATTTCTTGACACTTGTAATCCAAGGCATTTTTAACACACAATTATTATAATTGATGTTCATACAGGAATGTTAATGTGTTTGWTATTGGTCAAGATTTCCTGACTATATTGATGCATTAATTAAGACAAACCAACACAACTATACACTTAACAGCTCATTAGCTCCCCTGGGAGGTCATTAATGAGCTGTTATTGCATCAATATAAGTGACTCTTGCTATGCATGAATGATACTGGGTTTTAATAGCTTGCGTGGGAGGATGAATACGCTGTAGTCATCTATGCGAAGCCAATATTTGCTAGGGGATTTGAGAATCTATATTATACAAGATATTTTGAGCATAGTAGAGGGGAATGCATCTATTTACTATGTTTTGAATAACCTTGAATTGACCAGAAGAATTGTACTTCAAATTATTTCTATCTATACCCTGAAACTACCTCTGGGCTGGTCAAAGTCAGGAGACGTCTAACTCGCAGATTGAACCCTGAAACAACTTCTGAGCTGATCTAAGTCAGGGCATGGCTAACTCAAAGATCAAACCCTGAAACTACCTCTGGGCTGATCTAAGTCGGGGTATGACTAACACAGATCAAACCCTGAAACAACCTCTGGGCTGATATAAGTCAGGGCACGGCTAACTCACAGATTGAATCCTGAAACTACCTCTGGGCTGGTCAAAGTCAGGAGACGTCTAACTCACAGATTGAACCCTGAAACAACCTCTGAGCTGATCTAAATCAGGGCATGGCTAACTCAAAGATCAAACCCTGAAACTACCTCTGGGCTGATCTAAGTCAGGAGACATCTAACTCGCAGATTGAACCCTGAAACTACCTCTGGGCTGATCTAAGTCAGGGCATAACTAACTCAAAGATCAAACCCTGAAACTACCTCTGGGCTGATCTAAGTCAGGAGACATCTAACTCGCAGATTGAACCCTGAAACTACCTCTGGGCTGATCTAAGTCAGGGCATGACTAACAGAGATCAAACCCTGAAACAACCTCTGGGCTGATCTAAGTCAGGGCACGGCTAACTCACAGATTGAATCCTGAAACTACCTCTGGGCTGATCTAAGTCAGGAGACAACTAACTCAAAGATTGAACCCTGAAACTACCTCTGGGCTTATCTCAGTCAGGCCATGGCTAACTCACAGATCAAACCCTGAAACAACCTCTGGGCTGATCAAAAATAGGAGACAAGTAACTCACAGATTGGATCCTGAAACTACCTCTGGGCTGGTCAAAGTCAGGAGATGGCTAACTCACAGATTGAACCCTGAAACTACCTCTGGGCTGAACAAAGGAGACTGCTAAATCCGATATTGAATTAGATTGAAAACTGGAGAACCCAGAGAAAACTCTTTGAATCAAAGGAGAGACCTAACAAACTCTACTCATGTTATGCCAAGTTTAGGAATCATGCATATTACATTGACCCTTACCTAGCCTACATTCGGCCAGTTTAATTTCCTCAAAATTTTTGAGGAAATTAAACCAGCTGAATGCAGGCTACCCTTACCTTGAATGTTCTTGTTTCCTATTTCTCCTGGGTGAGTCTGCATGCAAGTACTTGAATCAGCAAACTAATGAAGTATTGGTAAGGATATATGCAAACAATGAACCAAGAAGGATTTGCATTCTTTTTTTTTACTTCATTGAAAGATTTTTGAACATTTATAATCTTAAAAAATAAAATATTTATAACAAAATAAAGAGTTTTGTAAACATTTTGCAGACTAAACTATAATAATATCTAATCAATCATTTTCAAGTCATTAACCCAATTTCAGGTTTAGGCATCTAGGAGAAAAAGTATTATGCCTCTTACAAAGTTCAGGATAGGCTTGTGTTGTTGCGGAAGTAAATTTGAACTGTTTGACATAGCCGAGTACAGTGAAAATATCAATTTGCATAGCCTTGCTGAACCTCTTACAATAGTCCCTTTCACAGTTCCCTGCGCCATCTTGAAAGGTAGCCGGGCTATGGTGGCTCGCAATGATAGCAACCTTTTTTAACACCTTTGACAATTATTCATATGTCTCTATCATTGCAAGCTCATCGTTCGTCTCGCTTCGATGCAAAGGCACAGTTACCTTTCGAGATGGTGCAGGGAACTGTGAAAGGGATGCGGCTTTGAAACTTTTAACTATCACGTTTCCAGAGAACGTTTTTGATTAGTAAGCTTGGATGATTGCAAAGCTGATGCACTCAGTTTGCTCAACTTCACAATTCATTAACCTACTGCCAAATTTCCTTGCTAGTCGTTTTCTCTGCTAAGAATCGCCAACGAGGGAGACTCTGCTAGCAGGGAAATGCCCCATTAAACTTGTCATCAAAGAAAACGTGCGGAAGGGATTGTGCAACCTTGCGCAAACCTCGCATATTGTGCGCTTTATCTTTTAGTGTTACTTTGATAAAAATACTATTATAATAATACTTTTCGTATTATGGTACCTAGCGCACGAACTTTAAAATAATATAGACTTTCAGATATTTAGTCATGGATGATGTTATTTAGATAATGGGAAGGTATTTAAGGTAGAACGACGATATACCTCCAGATCAAGCATGCTCTGCAGCGTTGAGTTCCATCGTCCAATAGAATATTTACTGTCCTACGTTCCATGTGGTATTTCTCTTAGTATTATATATATTTAYAAGAATTCTTTATGTCCTTCTCAGCCAAACTCGATAAAAAAGCTAAAGCATCCCAGATGCTTCGTTTCCGATAACCACGTTTTTTCTCTTGATATTTTTGTCCTACTGATTTAACTATTCTTCTCTAGCGTCCTCTCTTCTCATGTATTTGAACAGCTCTCACAACACATATTTGCGTAGTGTTTGTATATACAAAAACGTGCACGGATCACGATTGCGCAGATAGATGGTGATTTATCCTTGCAGTTAGGTTTCTTGTGCCTTCTGGTTTTCTTTCCTGGACACGATGAGGTATTACATCTTTCCAGGTAGGCTGGTCGTGAGTTGTTTTCGCATCCACCGACCTTTTGACCTTTGTGGTTCATACAGATGACCTCTCTTGTTTGGCTACCTCCTCCACACGTACGTGAACACTGGAATTCAAATTTTAAATTTATTAAAATACGGCTTTTGAAGCTTCAAGTTTAATTTTTGTTCGCCTGAAGAAGATTGAATATGTGTTCCAAGGCACTTCATTATCTTCTTTCTTTGACAATGCTGGGTTATTGAAAAAAAAAATCATATTGACCAACAACCTTTGCGCTCAAGTTAAAAAGTTGCTTGATCTCTGATAAAATGGCAAGGAATCATAATAAATAGATAAAGATGGGTACGCGGAATGAAAGACTAATGTACAGTGTTCTAGTGCTCACCTCTTTCCACCCGGAAGTAAACCACTGTGGTGGGCAATTTTCATTTCCGCAAGGTCTTTTGGTCTTTGGCTTCTTGGATCGAGGACAGGCATCGATCGGATACTCCTGGAACATACCACCTACCTTACCAGCACAAAACACTGTTCGTGTCTGGACGCCATTTCCGCACTCCACAGAACACTAACAAAGACAGACAAAAAATATGTGAATGACACTGGATCGAAAGACTTATTTTTAGGCCTAKATTTGCAAACGTTTTGTGGCATGTTGACGCAATTAACCGCTTCCAACTCTGGGCGCTCCTGCGACAGTAAAAGCGCGCAGCTTGACGGAGTCAATCAATTACTCGCAAGGATCAAGRGATCTCCCTTCTGCCAGCGTTAGGATTTCTTAATTGAAAAAAAACCTGAAGTTACTTATTTTCCGTTTCCGCTTGCGCGATATTAATAAAAACGAGGAGGTAATGAAAGAGAGGGGAAGAGAGAGAAAGTGTCYCAAACAAGATACCTTACCTTGGACCAGTTTGACGTTACCCATGTCGCTTGGCACTGAGGTCGATTACATGGTCTTGTCTCGCTTGGTTTTCCACCTTTGCAGTGTTTTGAAGGAATTGCCTCACCGCCACCCCGTCCACAGAATACTAACCGATGTTGTTGCCCTTGACCACATGCAACAGAACACTGGAAAAGGACAGAAGAATGACGAAGACTAAATATCTATCCTCATCAAAAATATGTCTGATTCTATAAAGAGGGATTTATTTTTCTATTTTAATTGCGGCGGACGATAGTCATCCTGTACTGTAGGTGAGAGGTCTAAGTCAAGAGGGTAACCTGTTACTTTAGGTGGGTCTCGTCTAAAGGAGGAAAGGGCATCGCCTTAGGAAGGAGTGGTATTACTAATGGAGGGAAAGGCATTACTACTGGGAGGAATGGTATCTTTACTGGAGGTAGGGGCATTAATATTAGAGGAAGGTCATTATAGAGAGAGGGATGGGTGGAAGAAAGAGGAAAGCCGGGACTGGTAACATTATGAAGCATCTCACAGTTATTTCTAATTGATAACATAATTGACCTCCTCGGCTTGGGTGTAATGTTGTCCCATTTCAGACCACGTGTCATTCGCTTGAGAATTAGATTCTTTATTTGAGTTGTATCGATATTCATGTGTCTTCTCATGTGCAACCAAGCGCAATCGTTAAACAAAGAAAGGATACTCTAGGGAATGACACGTGGTCTGAAATGGGACGACTTTACGCCCGAGCCGAGGAGGTCTATTGCTTTGTGACCTATTGAAACTGGCTAGATTCCTTACCTCAGACCAAGTTGATGAGGTGAACCAGAATGTTTTACACGACCCCTGAGAGCATCTGCGCGCTGCTGCAGGCTTCGGTGCTTGAGATTCCGCACACACTCTTGAATTTATCGTCTCATTTGTTCTAATACTAACACAATTAATCCCTCTCGTCTGAACTCCACTTCCGCAGGTCACTGAACACTAAATATGAAACATTTTAACAATCATAATATTCAGATTTGTGAACCACAACAAAATTAATTTCATTTGCGTCTCCAGGTCAACTATGGGATTTCTGTGGGATACGTGTAGAGGAAGGCTTAAGCGAGGTTGGGATGAAGCCCGAAAATTTCATGGAGATTTGCGCAAAAACTAACTGGAAAACTAAATACTGTACAACTATTTTATTTTTGTTGGTCGGGGAAACGAGAGGCAGGGACTGCAGGTCTCGACTTGAAAACCCACAACTATCCCAAATGAGTAAAAACTTCATRAGATGTCACTCTTACTGACCTTGCCCCACTCCCCTGGGTTCCACCGGCTGGGCGGAGGACAAGGCGCTTYATTGCAGGGCCTGGTAACTTGTGGTCTTGACCACTGTGGACAGCTTCTGATGGGTAACATTTTGTCTTTCTGGACACCGTCTTCGTCGACGATTTGTTTACAACGAAGATTCCTTATTTCGACTCCTTCTCCGCATGTTTTGGAACATTTTATCCATTTGCCTGGCACCCACCTGTGCGCAAGAAACAAGAAGGTTCGAGATCAGTAAACTGAATATAACTACAAAATATTTTCTTCATAGCGCATGTCATGGAAACGTTTTCATTGAAGTCTATCCGAACCTTATTTTGTTGCGACAGTAAATTGTGCAATACCGCGCGTGCTATCGAGAAGCACTGTAAGAGTATATAATTGCGCGTTATATAATCCTACCTTGGCGGACAGGGCTGCAGGTTACAGACTTTCTGTCGAGGTACTGGTCTTGAAGCACGATTGCAAAACGATTCCTGTATCCTTGAATTGGAAGCCGTTCGCACACAGTGAAAAATGGCTGACTGTAGGCCTGTAGAGAAGAAACAAAATAGAATCACGCTGAGTTAGCTTTCAATGATGGATTGTATAAAGCAAAGGACAATGTAGATGAGGGTCTGTGAGATACCCATTACAAGTTAAAAGATATCTTGTTTAGCTTGGTAGCTCTTCAGCTGGTGTAGCCCGGAAAAAGGAAAACAAAAACCTACATTTACAAGCCTAACAGCGAAAAGTTATCTTTTTGCGCAGCTCAGCTAAATAGCGCGTAACTATGAATTCCATTCGCGCGCCTAAGCTTCAGTTGACCAAGTCCACAGCACATACATATATCACATATAACAATCAGCCTTACGTGAAAGAACACAAGTATAAAGCGCCGTTACTCACCACCAGCACAAGATTTTGTGCACTGAGTAAACCCCGCTAATTTCCATTCATATTGAACCTGCGGACGACGCTGTGGCAGTGTCGTAATCCCTCCACGTGACTCTCTAGCGGCGCCTTGAAGTCTTCGTCTGTACGCATTAGGTTCTGCGGGTTGGGGGAGCCGTGAACGATCTCTGGGGAACCCCCCAGGAAGGTAGTAGGAATACATAATATTTGGTTCGTCTCCTTGGTAAATTATCTGCGAGTAAAAGTAAGATTTTGATATATTTATGCACAGGTGGGGAGAAGTAGAGGAAGGGGTGGTTTGAATGGTAGTCGGGGAGATTTTAGACAGGGAAGTTGTAGACAACTTAAAGGGGTTTATAGAAATGTAAAGGTCTCGAAAGGAAATGCAATGAATGCTATTGTTTGCTTCAAAAGGGAGGTTATCTGGGGGGACTGAAGTTCCAGAAAATATCGACCTATAGAAAATCCCCCCGTCATTCCCAACCCCCCTAAAACACAGGTCTTTGTCAGACGTTCATGCGATGAATATTTCTTACCATGAGATCCAGAGCTTCTCTTGTCGGTCCATCAGAGACAATAGCTTCATTAAACTTCTGGTTTCGCTTGGGTCGCTTGTAATAAAAATTAGCTCCGGCTATCTTGTAGCCTCTTGGTAGATCTATCACCCATTCACCATTGAGGAAGTACTTATTGGAATTATGAGCTTTAAGTGCTGAGATAATCAAACAGAAAATACTTTTTGAGCCATCCCGTCAGTCACTCTCGACCAAGGAGACCTGTTATTCATACTGCGCATGACCGGTGGTTAAGACCCCAGGACCGGGTCGTTCAAAGCCCGATTAGTGCTAATCCTGGGTTAACTCTTAATAAGACCTATAAAGGTAATCCTGGATTAGCGCTAATCCAGCTTTGACCAACCCGGCCCAGATGATTTACCAAAACCAGTAACCAAACGTCACAATTTTTCCCCATTCACGCATACTTTTTCTACCATAAAAATCATATTTATGAAGCCATTCTTACCTAAATAGTTTTTGCTTTGTTGTATTTCTGTAATATTTATATTAGTCGAGCCTTTAGGGATGGTTATGACTGCATTGTATCCAAGCACTTGGCGAAAAAAGTAAATAGATATTAGATACACCACAGCGCAATCATTTTGTCTGGTTAGCAAAGCAATTTTACACAGATTCTGTCAGCGTGGGAGAACACTGCACTGTGCATCAGGTCGCGCAACAAAAGTAATAACATTGGCTCGCAATAAAAATGTTGTAGAAAGCTCAAATGCTTTAAAAGTTGGAAATCAGATTAATTTGGTTTGGGCTTCCAAAGATTATTCGTTATAATATAATGCAACGACTTGAGCGGTAATTTATTCACTATGCGGTAATTATAGTATTCACGAAAAAAACCTTTTGGAAATAGCTGTAAATGAGAAGTTCGGTCAAAATGAAATATCGCGCAGACAGTTATAACAACTTTTACCTAATTTTGCAGAAGATTGTTTGGAAGTAAATAAACCAAATATCTTCTGTTTGGGTCTCTCAAACGACGCTGTAAAGCAAATTCCATTCTCACAACCAGTCGGTGCCTCCTGGAGAAAGAAGAAAGCATGGAGTTAATGCTTTTAAAATTAATGCAAGCCCAGCAATACACTTTAGGCTGCAAAACCACCAACGTTTTTGAGAGGTGGAGAGAATGGATCTTAAGCAGCAAAATCTAAACAGCTAAATTCAAATCTAATAGACCCTTGCAYGTGACGTCAAATTAGCTCGATCTGGGGGACAAAACAAAAGATTTCCAATCTCCTGAGAGTTGGAACCTATTGTTTTGTCCCCCAGATTGAGCTGCATTTCAAAGTGCTGCAAGGGGTCTACATGTAATCAAGCCAAGCCCTGACTCAGATCCAGTTGTTTAAAGGTTATAAAGGAAATTTGAAGATGTTGCGTGCGCTGTAGATAGAAGGCCGCGGAATTTGAACGGATAGGCTGTTGGAAATTAGGGGCGGGTATTGGGTTTATATTCAAATCCTTTCATTCGTACCTTAAATATATCATAGAAAATCTACTTTAGATATATCTTACTTGGCACTTTCCATCGATGCAAAGTTTAACGGGGTCTGACAGACAAGGTGTACCGTCTTCTACTTTTGGAAGCAATCTTAAGAAGAACTTGTGGCCTTTAGCCAGACAGTTCAGCTCACATTCCTTGCTATCTGACGCTGAAGACATTATAACAGAATACTGTTTCACATTTTTGACTTCTCTATTTTTCCTTTCAGTTAATAAGCATAAACTCAGTTTTCCCTKTTTTTGTTTCTTCCTTTCTTCCCTTTCTCTTCGGCTTTCTATGCGTTATTCTTTTTTCTTTCTTTCTATTTCTTTCACTAGTCTCTTTCTTTCCTATTCCTTTTTGCGTCCTCGTTTCCCTTCTCATCTTGCTTCCTTTTTCGTCTTCATTACATACCTCGTAAATAAGGAACCCAGTTGAAGAAATAACCATTAAAGGAAGTGCCGTTAAACTTGGCGCATTGACGAGCTCGCGATGTGACTGCATCATTACGTGTTAATTTACGGTTCACCGGACAATCCTGGAAAATACAAAACAGTATGTTTGACCATCAAGGTTAACAACTGATTCAAGATTGTAAAACATTTACTGCGGCTTTTGAGTGGGAAACGTACGGTTTGGACTAGCTTGAGGCACGTAAAAGTTATTTGTATAAATAACACTAAAATGGCTTCCCGTTGTTTTCGAGTAAATCATCCAATCACAATACTAACGTACGGCTACGAATATAGAGGCTTTGCACCATCACGTGATGGCAGCCACGACAGGAGGCACAACAACAGAGTCGTTCTTCCCTGGGAAACTGAATTCTTTCTCATGTAAATCAGATTAGACCAGATTCAATTGATCCTACCTCCTGTCATGGCTGCTATCACGTGATGGTGCAAAGCCTCTATAGGCGCATTTTTCCAATTAGAACACGAAATCCTTTGGGTGAAAGAGGGTATTTGAAAGCCACTTTTGGAGTAATGAAAGCCATTAGTTTGGACTCATGCATAGTAGTTTCCCAGACGGTATTTTTTCAAGAAGTTAGGGAAAATTCTAGCAGTTTTCTAGACACTTCGACAAATGTGCTTGGCAGTATTATCCACAATGTCGATTAAAATATGGTCCAGGGGCGTAAAGCAGGTTATCTGATATAATACTTTATATAATTAACGTGTTAATTATTCTGCTATCTGAATATAAAGACCATGATGAGTAACTGAAAGAAGCCCATAGGGTATGGTCAGGATAAGGTGGGGTATACGGCGCATGTGGTAAGCGTGGGATACACTCATTAAAGCTCAGGGTACACTTTAACTGGATATAAACACCATGACGAGTAAAGAAGCCCACAAGGCATGGTCAGGAATAGGTCGGGGTATATGTGGTAACGTGTGATAGATAGATTAGCAAATATATTCAGTGTCCAATAAACTCATTAAAAACACAGGGTGCCCATTCACTGAATATGAAGGACATGGGGAGTAAGATGCTTGTATACGAGGGCCTCAGCCCACGCAGCGGCGCCATGGCGGATTGTGGCGAGAAGAAGGCCAAGGGGAAGGGGACTCATTCAGTTAGCTCTTCAGTCTGTCTGTCCGTTTGTCTGTCTGTCCGTTCGCACTTTTGTCCGTAGTTACGTCATCGCGGCCATGTTGGTGCCATTTAACAAAATATTTCTCATTAGCATCCATTGTTAACGGCACCACAATGGCAGCCATGTTTTTGTCTGACTCTTGAATGCTTGCAACCTATCAATAGCTTCAATGTGAATTTAGAAACTCTAGACAAGTCAAACCATTCGTGTAGCATCGCACTCGAGCACGAGACTGGAATTCCAAATATTCCAGAATTCCAAATAATTGAAGCAGGCGGTTTACGAAAACAAAAGACCCCAAGTGCCGTTACTAAGGAACATCGGTCCAAATTACACGATTTACGTCTGCTCATCAATGGACTTTTATTGGAGGTCACCATCAGTCTTTATCAGACTGACCTTTCCAATCGAAAGTGAAGTGAAATGAAAAATAGCTCGCATGCCAGAATATCAGTATTCCAACAAAGTATTCCCTTCAGCTGGCTAACTTAGAACTGACTAATGAATGCTGATCTTTTAGTCATTTTTGGTGATATCTATATTAAGTTTTCGTTTAAATGTTAGGTCAAGAATAAAACTAGTACCGCTTACTGCACGAACTAAGTCTCTTCTCTTCTTATGTATTTAATGAATTAAATCAGATAAAACGGTGGTAGAATTACATGAGYACCGTGAGGTAGGTAGGGAATGTTATGCGAATCGTGAAACTAAAATGAAAAATATATATATCGAGATTCGTTAAGAAATTAAACATTAACAAGATTGATTTAGATATCAAATGCTTATGTAAACAGTGTTTATGCTTGACAGTATGCTTAATTCCGTATCGAAAACAAAAAATAACAAAGTATCTAAGATAATGCAAATTATATTCTTTCACTGATTTTCTTAGAAGTTTCCGGATTTTCTAGTAAATCATGACTATTCAAACTCAAAAAGTTATAGGCCCTTCCCTAAAAATTCCATCTTTAAAAAATTCTTCAGTGAAGGCAATATGCATGCTTGCGAGCAATCCGTATCAGAAACCAACCCTGCGTTGCACGACCATAGTTAATTAACTATGCTCCACTAATGTTGAAAATGATTCAAAAACTTTCAAAACAAAACTAGTCCGAATCAATACTCTATAAGATCAAGAAATGGTTATCACTAACGCATATAAACTATCTCTTTACAGTGAAAATAAATTTTAGATTACAAGATCTTCTATGACAAACATCAACGCATGGATACACCCAACACTCTCCATGAATACGCATTGCAAAAAAAGAAAGATAAAAAACAAACAAGCTTTAGACTGATTTCAAACTGACCTTCGCTCTTAATGGTACTACTGCTTTTTAATCAAATATTCGAGTCATCCAGTTGGTTAGATGTCGAATCTATACTTACCGTAGAGCCAGGGCATTTGAGTGCTGGTGAGGTAGGCTTTAATGTAGGTTGATACACCGTAGGAGACAAGAGTCGTTCATCTTCGTGGTCTATTCGCGACAAGAATGCGTAGTCACTGAGTTTCTGCAGTTCTGTCAAGTAGGTGTCTTGCATAGCGGAGTTAAGTTTGCCTTTGTTCAGTTCATTTTCCATTAATTTTTTCATTCCTCTACGAAGCGCAAGAGTCTCTTGAACACTGAAGGAATCCGATGGGACAATCAGTGACGATATAACATAGAAAACGCTTGAAATGATCGTGATGAACCCAGCCATGTTGTTTAACTGCTGCTGGAGTGTCGCCAGTCAGCGCAGAAAAGCCAACCGTCTGAAACTACCGTAACGTGACCTTGGACAACCACCCGTTACGAAGTAGCAAAATACCCTGTCATATATATCCTTTAAGAAATATACTTTGCACTCAATATTCTAGTGTCCTTGCACTATAACAAGCTTTGTTGAAGTGTCAGGAGGTTGCTGAAGGCGATTTCTTACCAAAACAAGACAAAGGAAATATACGGTTAATCCGAGAAAAAATTTAAATGAGAATAGATTCTCAGCCCACTTTTGACACTGCTAATCCAAGTCACAATGTTCACTTGGCACAGRAACTCTGTCTGTGATAAGGGTTACGTTAACGATTTAAGCGATATCACTTCGCCTCTTTCAACATAGAACAAATTTCTTGCACTAAATTTCCTCAGTGGAGGTCTGTCTTGATGTAAGTAAAACCTGTTTGAAGTCACCCCATCACCTTAAAGCAACTAAGTTTAATCCTGCAAGGATTCGAAGAAAACTCTGGAAAAGTCGAAGAGAATTCCTCCCGTGAGAYGACACTGTTTTCAGAGTGAACACTAGAAAAAAGAATTGCTTGTCAGGTGAAGTGTAAAGTAGAATGCAGCTAAGGTCTTCAAGTACAATTTTGAAGAAGATCTTTAAGTAGTGCCTAAAGTTCTTAAGTACAATCTTGAAAATAATTCCAATGTGCCACGAAAATGGGTGGAAGGGAAAGTTCAAAGGGAGTTTGGCAAATATTTGAGATTAGTTGTTTGATCTTTGATAAAGATCTTGTTAGTTTGAAGAAATTTCGAGTATGATGGACCTACTTGAATTTTTTCTGCGTGTCCGCAATTTGGTATCAATTTACCCATTAAGATTGTTATCTGAATCAATAAATTGATGTTTTTTCATTCAAAAAAGCTGTTTTTCAGAGATGCACCTCAAAGGGGCACTAAAGTATTTCACTCGATCATGGAGATTTCTCACATATTAAAGAAATATTTACAATCAAAGGAACAAAATAAAAGAGACAAACGAAAAAAACCCCCCAAAAACATATCTTCAGCTTCTTCTACCATTCACAATTTGGCTTTATAGTGTAAGCCATTGTATTTGAGTATGTATTCCACCCTAACTGATGTAGACTTTGTCCACGTTAAAAAAATAATGGGGGTGCTTCTATAGCGCATTTCACATGGTCTCAATGCGCTTTACATTTATGACCAGTGGAGGACTTTATGGGCTGCATATTAAGGCGCTATTAGCAGCCGTGCAGCTTACAATCACGTTCCATAGATATAAGATAAAAGAAGAAGAGTGCGCCCTTCACCAGCACTTGTCGTGGATTTGAAAAGCATTTTTGATAATTGAGGTCATCAGTGGAACTAATTTTCAGCAGACAAAAGATGAATTGGACTAAACTATGACTAGAGTAATAGATCTCATGTTTGACGGTCATGTGTTATGAAAACGGTCCAGTGGAACCGACATGTTTCAGCATTTAGAATCACGAGAGCTCTTACGCCTACTAATGCGGATTGATAATTGAATGGCAACGCCTTCCATGTAGCAACATTTTGTCCACTAAAAGGAAAACCGCAGCTGATAGATGAGGTTAGCAATGAAGGATAGGAAGGAATGTAGCCATGACGGTAACCATAGAAACTTGATGGGCGTAACAACCGATTTTCTTAGGATGTGAGAAAATGGGGGAAACAATGGATGGATAGGATAAGTTGRTATCTAGATATTTATCCCATCCAGTTTTTTTCAATCATGACTTAAAGAGTTAGTCGTAAAAAAATGAAATCTTTACCATAAATTTATCCTTCGTTTTGAATACTTTTATCTCAAAATGGCAGACCTTTGTCATTTGCCTTTGTGAGGGGCTGGGAACAATGTAAGATTTGTAAAAATGAAACAAAAGCCATAACATTACGCAACTGATTTGAAGGAAAAGTACGACTGAATTTACTATAATCTTGTACACACATTAATGTGTTTAACTATACAACGTCATTTAATCTCAAGCTTCTAAAGAGAAAAAATTCGCGAGGGCCAACTTAGTTAACATCTGAATTATTTATGTGTATATGAAAGATCATTGATGACAAGCATACCAGACGAAGAGGTTTAAAAACAAGACACGCTGATTGATTGAACAATCGAAGCACTTGATATGAAGAGGTTCCTATCGCCGCCTTATTAAATCTTTGTGTTAATTAATCTTAACATTCAGTCGTGGATAAACTATCGTTGTAGATAGTATTCTGATTCATTACCCTCATCGTGTCTTGATGCTTTAGTAAATCATCATTATTATTATGACCAGCATCATCATCATCATCATTATCTTCGTCACCATCATCATCACCATCATCATTGTCACCATAAACTCCATCACCATTATCATAAACACCATAATCACCATCACCACTACCACCACCTTCCTCCTCATTATCTTGACCTCATCAATGTTATGGTTTTTCCATTTTCGTCATCAACACCACCATCGGTCATTCATGAAAATCTTCCGTGATCGTGATCAGCCTTCGTGGCTCATGATTATCAACGTCATACCACGTTGGTCATAGTCATTCGTTTCGTCTTTGGTTTTATTAAGTGTCCTATGTTATTCAGACGTGAGCTTCCTGACGTCGTCAAACTTCGTAAATATGTAAACTATCTTCATAGAATATTCCAGTATAGTCAAGCCCATTTTTCGGACACCTGATTAAATGCAGTTTTCATAAGCATGCGAACTCTGTGTCTGTGGCCTGTTGTAACGATCTTGAAACATGAAACACGTATCACTAACCTGTAAATTACAAGTGCTATACTCTACATCCGGGCCTCTACAGCTGCCTTGGTTTTGCTGGCGGTAGATTTTCAATATGAATTGTGGATAATTACGATGGCTAAAAACAACAGAAAACATAGTTTTTCTTTGGATTCAACGATAACAACGAATAATGAATATAAACAGCAAGTAGCTATTCACATGAAATACAAAATATCTATCCCCACTCCTACTTTTACGGAAAACCTCCTGGCTGATCAATGTCAGGTTACGTGGCAGACTTACCAAATTTGATTGGATTTAACGTGCTATATAGCTATGTTTTACGTAGGGACGGAAAACCCGAGAGTCCGGAGAAAAACCGTCTTTCAAGAGAGAGATCTAACAAAATTTGCTCACGTGATGAAGATCCAGGAATCAAATTAGAGACCTCAGAGGTGARAGGCGAGCCCACTACCGCTACGCCATCCTTGATTCCAAACGATAGGCACATCATATCTATTGTAGCGCACGTTGGGTGCAACGCAATCCTGTGCGCTCCTGGCGCACTATACTGCGCTTAAACAACCTAGCGCACTATATTTGCAACTAGGTGCATCATAAAGCTCAGGTTAGAGCACGCCTATTACGCAATATAAGAAATATATGGCCTTGGTCGYACCCAACAGCACAATACTTGTCGCGTAACTACCCTTAACGGTCGCGCAGGACTACCAACCTGATAGGGTCCTGACATGTTCTTCTCCTTGTAGTCGTTCCGCCGCCACATGATCTACTGCACGGTGTCCAGTCACTCCATTGAGTCCATTTACCTTTTCCAAATCCAGACCACTAGAATACAAAAACAAYCAATCACATAAGAGAAAGAATATTGACCAATCAGAAAATTAGAAATTGTCTAACCTAGACCAAAAAGAATAAAAAAATGAAAAGAAAGAAATTGCCAAATTTTTAGCTTTTAACAGGGTATGAATAATYTTWATGTAAAGAAAAAACATTTCTAAYATGYAAAAYTTRGTTTATGTTTTTAAATTCGGAATTTTGAGAGTTTTTTTTATTTTGGAAAATCAGGAACCGAGCATGACTGGACTGGACTGGACGTCGGTTAAGTGGATCGTGGATCGAAAACTTGTTTTAATCCCTGAATTTGCGGGTATTATACTAAAATTTTTATTTTGATATCAATAAAAAGTAATTTTATGATAAAATTTTGCGTAAAAAAAAAAAAGATTTAATAAGTGACAAAACTGAAGTAATCAATCAAAATGAGCAAAATATGATTTCGTCCAATCGAGACAGACTATTGCCGTGCCACTCCTAGAATAGCTAATAATCTTTAGAACCAGCGATATTAAACAGTCTATAAAGCAAATGGTCTTGCTAATTAATGAAAAATAACTTAATCAGATTACAAAATCGATCGAACCTGCCTGATTCAACTTGTTGCAAATATGGGTCGGCCGAAAACCTCTGGGACGTACGTCTGAAAACTAACCGATAAAGAGAGGGTGATCGCATAATACGTGGTCGTTTAGAAGAGGTTTGATTGTCAATCAGCGGAAACAGTTGCGATGGAAAGAAWGAATGATAAAATCACGTGATCTTGTTTTCTTTTTCCAGAGGATATTTTCAAAACCAACGCGATTGCCTATACAAATATTTATGTTATACTTTAATACTAATTAATTTAATTGATTTTTTAATTAAAACTGCACAAAGTAGAATCTATTTATATCAGATACAAACGAAGATAAAAAACTRTTTCGAATAGTTTAAGTCTGGTGTGGATCAAAAAACCCAAACAAAACGRCGTTGTTTAAGGCTTCCATTGATTTTATCACCAAATACCAGGATCGTTATCTAACAATACACAATGYTATCAATATTGGAAGTTATGTTATAACATGGTCAACTTGTTATGCAATAAAGATAAGGCCGTTGCACGAGGCTGAAGTGACGAAGGTCGAATACTACACAAAATATGGACTATATGATAATGGACACGAGGTAYATATAGGAATAGAATACTAGATTGTGATCGTGTCGTGTACTTTGATTTGTCACAGTCACAGTAATACTGATACCACCTGATATCATGATATCACATAGCTTTACCGTAACCACGCTTATTTGCCATAAATCCTGCGGCACATGAGAAGCCACGATAAGGAATATTGTGTCGTGTCGTGCCGCGGGCGCGTCCTTTAACTTGAWAATTTTCACCTATGGCTCTCTTTATTGTTATTTTCTTTTCAGTTTTCTTTTTCTATTCTCAAACTTAAAGTGTCCAGTTACCATTTTCTGTTTGCTATGGTAACAGTGACGCCATAGACCTTCTTCGAGTTCCAAATTACCGCTGTGTTCCTTGATTACATACTCATTCACTCAGGATTAGCATCATATTAGTGTCTAATTAAATATTCAMAAATAAAAACGGTAAAGTAAMKAATGCACMACTTCAACAATACAAACACTTTGAAATTCCATGGACCTTCACTGTAACACATGAATATAAACACACGAAATCATGGCTAGCCCTGAGCGAAACTCTTGAGCCCTAATAACTACTTAGATTGAGACTGAGCCCGAGTGAACGCTGAAACAGTACTTGTTTTGATAGTTATTATTRGTTGCAGTGATCAGGAACGAATCCCTGTTGTGGATAAATAATAGTTTTGTAAATCACCGACATTGTCATCATTCTATATCCAAAGAAACAGTCAACACACTACGCAAGCGGTTCCTGCTGCTAACAATCTGATATACGAAGCTCTATTGTCTCAAAGAAAAGCTGGAATCCTGGAGAAATAATTGAGATGCTACGCTATTAAAAATATTTTGTTTTGTTTTGATCGAAGGATTCACGGTTCGTTGAGATAGATGCACGCACTGATTTAGAGATGATATGATCTACTTCGCGATACAGAAAATCCATTAAATCAAACGATTAACACGAGAAACAATATCATACTTGAAACGATTTTAACTGATAAAAAATTCAATAGAAAATCAATTTGGCTCAATGAGTAAAAAGAAAAAGTTAAATTTAATGTTTATAATGTTATTRTAAAAATGACAGACACTTGGAGATCGGGATCACGATAGATTAACTAGGTCCATTTTTGTCCACGGATTGGGCTTTTCAAGTACAATAGATATAATTCAAGTGGGACAAGCGCTAATAAAACGATGTTATCAGCTTAGCTATATTTGAAGCATTGAAGGGATGCGCGTTCATGTGTAAAGTGTTGTATTTTCTCGAAGTATTTCACATGTCGAGCTGAAAGATCATGCATAAAGAAGGTTGTATTTAGGGACGGACCATTAGATATTTGAGGGGGAGGGGGGAGGGAAGGGGGTTTGCGTAAATCTCCCCTCCCCTAAAAAATAAAAAATATCGCGCAACCTCTACTTTCAGTAAAGAAATATCGAGCAAACACAAAAAGAGTGCGTGCAAGGGTTGTTACAAATTAAAACAAAACAAAACAAAACAAAACAAAACAACAAACAACAAAAAACAACAACAATAACAACAACAACAACAAAAAACGTGCAACATAAATTCCTGCAACCCCCCTGAATTATCTAATTGTCCATCCCTAAGATAAACCATCAAAGGTGCCCTTCCGAGGACAGTAAAAAAAAAAAGATAAAATAATTATAATTGAATAAATCCAAAGATGCCGTATTTAGAGTCATCAGTTTAATCCTGGGATTACTAAGTGCGTTGAAGGGTATTAATTTGATCATAGAACTAGTATGCTTAATATCATGATATTATCAATGTCCATTGATACAAACTGTGGACTTTCCTAATATATTGTGAAATTTCCGGTAAATCGAGTCGACGAGAAGAACAAATTCCGTTTATTTCTTCCTTCCCTGGCAAATTTTCCTAAACCAAAACTTCCTTAAATRCCTTTCCGTTTTCCGTTATTATGGGCTCAAAGGTCGACATAAACGGGCTGATATTTCCGATATYATATGATATTATATACATGATCRAAATCCTCTTTGAAAGAGAGACATATAATCTGTCTTAGCTCGTTAGGTAAGGTTAATCAGTGCTAACCTGGGAACGAGTGGGCAGTACGTCTAGGTCTAGACCGTA